ACCTCATTTCTGCACTCCAGTATTCACCAAGCACCTGAGATTCACACAGTTCTGGGGACGTGCTGAAGTCCCTGACTGCCTAGGAGCTTTACTCTTGGATCTGCACTCTTGGGGGACCAACCCACTAAAAACTGCACTTTGTTGTCAGGAAAATGTAGCCAACTATGAAATGTAAATGAAACTCTAAACAGAATTACATAATTATAGGTAGAGGAAAAAGAGCTATTCCTGGAAGGAAAAATAGGAAGAATATGTATGCATGCTCAGACAACTTTTTTTCACACAGCCATGAAATAAGTATAAATGTATATACCCATTTGCAACTATGTAAAATCAAGTAAATGCCCTATCCCTGGCAGTGTTCAAGGTGGACAGAGCCTTGGGCAACATGGTTTAGTGCAAGGTGTCCATACCCATGGCAGCAGGTTGGAACTATATGATCTTAAGGTCCTTTCCAACCCTAACTACTCTATGATATAACAGGAATAAGTCATACATGTGGAAGTAATATCAGTAACCCATCATAACCACAATTAGTAATCAAATGCATGTGTTTGTTTTTTTTTTGGGGGGGGTGTGTGAAAGAAGTTTTTTCTGGAAAAAAAAGAATAATTGAAGCAATAATAACAAAACAATAATAACACAGGATGAGATGTGAATGAATGAAGGGGAAAGAAATTGTTTTCTGTTTTCAAATCTCAACTAGACAAAGCATAATCAGGAGAAGCTTGTCTGTACTTCAGTAGCTTGGGTTTTGCCACACATAAGCATATCAACAAACACAAAACCAGTAATTTTAAATCATAATGAAATTATTCAGAAGTAAATTTGGGAAATTAAACCTACACCACACAGACAAATGTGCCAATTACAGTAACGTGCCAGATGATAATGTTAACAACCTTATAGGTGACAAGCTGTTTCAGAACAGTACAAAGCAGATGCCTGTATCAGTACTCTCAAACCTAAAGATATGGGTTATTGTAGTGTCATTTCTTCTTCAATAAATGTGCATGTTTATTTTCCAAGTAGCCCTGTGCCAGGATTGCTGGGAGGGTATTTTTTTTACCTTCATATATCTATGGAAACGTGCTCCTATCTCCATTAATTTTGTGCATTAAACAAACCACCAAAGTAGCAGAGTATTACTCTCTGTTTCCCTTAATCTTGCATTCCTCTCAGTTACAATAAATTTTGAGAGGAATAAATGAGGTTGCTGTGAATGTACATTTAGACAGCACTTGTCAAAGAACAGTTACATAAAGGTGGCCAGCTGAGATTTTTTTTCCTTCAAAACACTGTCTCTGTCCTTTATACTGTGGGTAACTGTAGAAAAGCCTTACTGTATGATACATGCTGGAGTGTGTCACTATTTAAGTAAAGACTGTGGGACAGCTCTTCCAAATACAATCACTGTGTCTAGAAAAATAGGAAACAGTACTCTTGTGTGAAAGGAGACTACATTGTCTTATCTGCAGATACCAACTACTAGCACATTTGGCAGGCAAGCCATCACTGGTATTTAAGTGCTTTTGAGGAAGCTTTTACAGGAAATTAGGTTTCTTTATGGATGACTACACTACCTTTCTTTTAAACAATTCAAGAACGCAAAATTCTCTGTGAGGAGACTGGCAATCCTGGAATTTCTACAGTTAGTATAAAGAGGTAGAGGGAAGGGATCTTCCTGAAAAGCCACCTCATGTCAACATAAACAGCGTTCACCACACAGCTCCTCCTTCCATAAGAGAAGCACAGTTTTAAGAGGGAAAAAAAAAAAAGAGAGAAAAAAAAGAAATCTTCCAAAATGGGGGGAATTTGACATCACCTTGGGTAATGGTCATGTCTGTTCTTTAAACAGTGCAAGGGGAGTTAAGCCGAGGGGCCTGGATCTTCTCCACACTTTTTAACTGTTAACAGTAAAGGTCTTATCAAATACTAGCAAGTAGGCAGCTGTAGGCACAAATGGCTTTCTTGTCAGGAGGGAGAGATCCTACTGGAGCACACATTTAGAAAAGGAGTGATGACCCACAGGGAAGCTCTAGGTAGAGTCTTCAAAGGTGTGATGAGCTGGAATAATACTGCATAACCACTTGAGGTACTGAGATAAGAATTAAAATAATTCTAATTAAAAAGACAAGAGAGTGAAGTTTCAAGGACACCTGTTTATGAATGTCTACCTAATTTTGCAGATAGACTTGGGGGTGTCTTTTTGCTGTGAAAAGGAGAGTCCTTACTGAAGAATAAGGGACGCTGCCTTATTCTGAGCACCAACCACCCTCCACTAGTCAGATAAAGACTTTTGAAGTTCAGGAGAAGACCACCTAACTGCACAGCATGGACAGGCCAGTAGAAATGGTGATAGTGCAGTCCTCATGGGACTCAACGTATAGGACTAAAAATGCCAGAGTCATGATGTTAGGATAACCAGATCCCAACCTCTGATTTTGCCTTACTTGGAAAATAACTTTTCAAAGGAGAAGCAATGGTGAAAAGGCCCAAGTGGTTCTCTGACAAGGAAAATTTCAGAATATGCTGAAGATGAACCCTGAAGGAAGGACTTGAAATTATTTACTTGGATGGAGAAGGGTGAATGGCAATACCTTTGGAAACCCTGTTGGTTGGTTTGGGTTTTTATTACTAGCAGATGAAACTGAGTATCAATTCTACGGTAGAAATCTGAATGTGCTTGTGTGAAGTTTACAAACTAAATGCAATTGAATTTGAAAGGTTCTCACCCTGAATCTGATGAAAAGAATCATGAAAGTGTATGTTACCATGTGTCCTAGGAGGACCAAAGAAATCCTTGTTGATAGTTGTAGAAGGCTAGTGTGTACAAATCGCGTAGGTGAGTTTAATCAGTGTAGAAATGATAACGAAGAAGAAATAATCAAGAGCCTACTAATGTACTTATGAATTTGTGCCACTGAGTTAAGACTACCTTTAACTTCTGAATATACACTCTTACGCCAGCAGATTTCAGGACAAGTAGTTTCTTTTTGCTCTTTTGAGAAAGTAGTATTTGTATGAACTTGTATGTGAACTCCTAGGTAAGATGGTATCTTCACCCCTAATGTCTCAGATGACACTGCAACAAGAAATGGGACCTCTGTAAATGTTCTTGTTACTAAGAACACTGCACAATTAAAATTCATCTTTTCTTCAACAACAGGAGCTTATAAGGAGTGAATTTTCCATTCATATATATGGACAGTTACAGAATAGCTGAACACTCCTAAAAGTTAGGGAAAATAAGATGCTAGGTTTGAAGTGAGTATGTGAATATTATTCTAGTGAAATTTGCACACTTTAGATCAATATGGACTGAAGGAATTAGGTCTCTTCTCCCTGGAGAAGGCTCGGGTTCCTTATCACAGTATTGCAGTAATTAAAGGTGACTACAAAGAGAAGAGAGGCTCTGTCTTCACAAGGAACCACAAGGAGAAGACAAGGGGCAACAGGTACAAGTTGCACCGGGAGAAGTTTCATCTCAACAAAGATAAGATTTTTTTTACAGTGAGAACAGTCAGTCACTAGAACAGCCTCCCCAGAGATGTGATAGTGTCACCATATCACGGTAATTTTCAAGATCAATTGGACAGGGTGCTAGATAAGCTAATCTAGGCTCCCTTTCCCACAAAAGTGACCTTTCGAGGTCACTTAAACCTGGGCTGCTCTGTAATTCTGTGATATAGGATGGTGCACACTTGGTTAGCCAACATTCATAGACTAACAGTGTTAAGAAGCCAGTGATAATTCTAAGACAAATCAAGCTGAAAAGCTTAAGACTTAAATCTAGAATTTCTAAATTAATGGCAAACTCCGTATCATAAAGTCATAGAATTGGGTTCCAGTATTTTTCCATCCTCATTGTAAAAAAAAATCCTCTTCCTCACACCCAGCCTGATATCTCCCCTCTTTTAGTCTTAAAACCGTTACCCCTCATCCTATTGCAACAGGCCCTGCTAATTATGATTTTGGTTTCTTTCTCATATGTTAATTTCTTTCATTATGGGTTAAATAGCTATCATGAGTTAAATAACCATCATAGGTTAAATAACCCCAGGTTTATAATACAGAATTAGTAATAGTTTACTTTTATCCATAAAAACTATACACATATATCTTATGTGTATATACAATGTAGGTGATACGACTTTCAGATATAGAGATCTATCCCTTTAAAAGAAAACACAACAAAAAAGCTGAAGTCGAGTTTCTCCCTTCATGAAATAAAATCTTATTTAAAACAAGAGCCCTCTTAAGGAAATGCATTTAAGAGGTGTATGGAACTATTTGACATTTCAGAAGCATTATGTCAAAAGTAGCTGATCAGATTGACTTGACATGTTGGTCATAAAACCATCTCACAAATCAAATACAGGAACTGTACAAATTTTGTAAAATCTAGTCCCAGAGCTTTTCCCAGAAAAGAACTGTTCACTCAGTTTGAGCGTATAGTTATTGATTTTAACAGCAAGTAATTTTTAAAATTAGTACACAATGCTTGAATGCAGTTTATAAACTCAGAAAAAAAAAAAACCAAAAAAACCTCCCACCCAACCAAAACACATCCACCAGTTTAGAGTTACAAGAATAAGAACACAATATTAAAAAAAAAAAAAAAAAGACACCTTAGAACCAAGCCAGGGGACTCAGCTTTTTCACCTAAAATCTCTAAACAGTGTTTCTTTATCCTAAAAGACAAAGTCTGGAACTTTTATCTTAATTACGGCAAACATACAGTTCAATAATTAGATTTAAATTTTATCTCACAAGACATTTTGATATTATTTTCTATCACAATTCTAACTATTCCTCTTTCTTATTTTTGTTCTCCAAGGAAGAGAGACATGCATTACTTTTATCATGCACTGACTGAGTTCATACAGCTTGGGAATCATCCTTTCAACCCAAGCACTTTGTTCTCTGCCCAGTATTCTGACACATGCCATGTGCTATTAACGATTTGATGAATGAAATGAAAGCATGTGACCACCTACCCACACACCTTGGCAGAGGTGCACTCCATACACGCCGACCACCTCCCAGGCAGGTAAGTTTGTTAGCACCTTCCAGGCGATATCCAGGGAAACAAGAAAAGATCAAGGAATCTCCAACACCAAAATGAAAACCAATTCGCCTGCTGAAGGCAGGAACACCAGGATCATCACATGGCTCCAGATCATATTCTGAAAACAATAAAACATCATATCTAAATAAATGGGAGAAAAAATAAAAATAAAAAATATTTTTGAAAGCTTACTAAATTAGCTGCCTTGTGTCAGTATGGAACACTTGGAAAACATATATTTTCAAGTTGTGTTCTCTACTAAAAACCAGTACTGTTTCTGTATGTCTGCTATGGCTAAATATACTGTAATAATGTATCTATCATGTCCCACCCACACAACATTGTTTTCTTTTTCATTTCAAGGGCTGTAATCAGCTTATGTTGTAAGTGGTTTACTATAACTTTAATTACATCCTTTACATACAATTCTTGGCTCATCCGAACTCCCAAACAGTTTTAGAAGTGAGACTTACAGTTAGAAAAGAGTAACACTGTGTAGTGAAGAAAATCTAACCAAAAAATCAAACAAAGGGTCAGGTGAATGAAAAAACAATGTTCACATTTTCAGAAAGTGTGCTTGAGCTTCCTAAGTAAATCTAAACTCTTAATAAAGCAATTCCCATTTGTTGCCTTTTAGAAATCCTACAGGTGTCACTCAACTGAAAATACATATATATATGTATGCATGTATTTTAAAGAAGTCTCAAGTACTTAATTTTTTTTTTTTTTTGTCTTTTTTATAACTATGTGTCAGGAATGATTCAGGTGGAGACAGAACAAATTAATGGGAAAAAATGAGGGCTGTTACATACAGAAGGACTACATCGAATTGAGAAAATGTCTGCACTACACATGCTGGTTGTATGAAAATAAGGCAACACAATCACCCATTTGTGTCATAAGCTTAATGTACTTGGTAATATTCCTGAAAATAGTTATTTAATATAAATGGGGGCATATGATGTCTACCTATGTGTATGTCAGCTGTAGGTAGGGCATAAAACTTTGCTTGTGTTCAAAAAAATTCTGCGATCCACATGGTCTGCAATTTTCCCCCGTCCATTCATAATATTATTTTGTCTATTTTTCTATGAGTTACCTAGCCCTCTACCATTTTGAGTTATTTATACACTATCAGAGATTTTTAACAGTCACATTTACATTCCTAACTTGCAAAACTGCTGAACTCTGATTTAGTTATTCCAAAGTGCTTTTTTCACCCTTAGGTTTCCTCCAATCTTCTTTTCCACACTGTTGATGGTACTCTGAGAACAGAAAAAACTCCTTAAAACAGTCGTATCACTAACATCCTTCTCAATCAAACCTTAGCCAGTTTTCTACGATAGAGGCTATACAATTTCTACTGACTTTTTACTAGTGCTTCATAATGTTTATGTTACATACAAGTAAAAATATTATCTGGAAACAGTTTCTAACTGTTTAAGAGTTTACAAGTTTCTAAAATTCTGTTCAGTAGAATGGAATTTCTTACCTGAAAATGTGATGTTGAAGCCTTCATAAGAAATTGAAAAATCAGATATAAATCGAAGCTGTGCAGTAAAATTTCCAAAGAGACCAGCTTTAATTGTAGGGGGTAAGACTGAGCCAGTTAACCTGGCTACTGGTTCTGTGAAGCTGCCGTCTTCAGTGATAAGCAAATAGTCATGAGAGCTCTCAAGGTGAAAGGTATGAAAAACCAGCTGTACACCTTTAAAAACATTAAAAAGGGGGAAAAGAAAAGCATTTACTAGGAAGTTTTTACCTCTTATATACATAATTGCACAGAAAGTCAATCTTACATTATATGGAAAGATTTTTAGAAAAAGTCACACATGGAATCAAACCCTAAAATTCAGGAAAAAAAACCTTGCAGAAAGCACTTGGGCTCTAACAATATGCGCAGTGTGGATGTTTGTCTAGCTCACTGTAAATCAATAGCTCCCATAAGAGAACTGATAAGATTCAGTGTTATTTGTAAACACAGCACTCCGAAAATCTGAATTTGTATTATACAGATTTTATTCAAATTCCTGTATGCATCTCAGATTTATATTCTGTACCATGATCTCACTATTGAACTAGGAGACACTTTGATAAGTGACTAAAATTTTGCATTCATGTTTTGTTTTTCCATTTCCTCCGAAACAATTCTGTTTTTCACTCTAGAAGTAAAATAATACAAGGACAAAACATGTTCAGGTTTCCTGTACAGTCTCCCATATGCAGGGATTCACATTTTCTGGGACCAGTCCTTTTCATGACTGTTTTTTTCAATTGCCAACTTCCAGTGCAGTGATGAATGAAATTTTGAACCACAGGTATGTTTTCAAATACAATTATTTACTCTGGAGAGCAACACTCTTCTTAGAAAGTCGTCTCATATATTTTACATTTAAAATGCCACATAAGTTTAAAACAAAATCCAACCTGCAAGAAGATTTTAAATAGTAGAAACTTCCAATACAGTTCTTGGACTATTACCTGTAAAGGCTATCACAAAGACTTTCTATGACAAGAAGAGGAGATTGAAGAGTATTTTTATTATGTTGTGATTCTGTGGTATCAAACACATGTTGAGTAATTCCTAGGCTTTTTTCCTTAGTTCTTTTACACATTTCCCTAACAATTAAGCTATCAAGATTAACTGTGCATTCAAATGTTAATCAGCTGTATGTGTAACAGAAAGATGTTATCATTTTTGGCCGTAATAATTTACGTTTGAAATCTAGGGTTACTTATACACAGATCAAATCTCCTTATTCATGCTTCATAATGAAAAAGAGCTATCAACAACAGTTGATAAAGTCCCAACAGCTTTCACTGAAAAATTTAGTGCTATTTAACAAGGAACTATTATTTTCATATATTTTACTTCTATTTTCTGACCATTTTTCTGAGACTAAACCACATTTCCTCTGGTAACTGCTAAAAGTATGTTTCTTCTGCAAAATGAACACAAATTAGAAACACCACATTTGAACATATTTATTTTGGAAAATTAAGCTTCTTCCTCAAAAGAGTGGCAGAAAGCACTGATTCAACTCAGTTCATAAAGGCATTCTATTGAGTGCACGTGTTTGATTTCTTTAAACACAGGCGTTACATATACACATGTAATTCATATCACATTCTTACCCTTGCCATGTGACACTTCAATAGTCCAAGTGCAATTTAAAGAGTTTGGATAAAAATCAGGAAATCCTGGCGAAAGAACAGTTCCACTCCTCCCATGAATGTATCCACCACATAAAGCTGAATAAGAGGAAAAAAAAAAAAAGGTTGGGGACAAAACCCAAAAGAGGTCAGACTGAAGTCCTGGGTTTTGTTGAGGGGGGGGGGAAACCAAGAAAAATCTAATTCACTTTTTGAACTACCCTTAAAACTAAAAGTAGGGCCAAGAATAAAAATAAGAAGTTAATGCATCCAAAGCCATGATATTCACACTTGACAACAATTTGTTTATCCATAAATTAGTCCTTAAAAGGCAGTTTATTTTTCATCTACAGTCTCTCCGGTTAGCAAAATACAAAATTAAGTAAAACTTTGTTGAGGAATACTGCAAATACTGGGGTAGGA